AACAGAGAAAGATAGGTGTATAGGTGGTTTGTTTTTTTTTTTTTTGAGGGATTTTAACTATAGGGCACATGCGCTTGCCAGACAGAGAGAGACATAGAGACAGAAAGCGAGAAATCACCCCTCAGGGGGGTTGACCACGCTGCAATCCCTTCTCCTCCATTCTCCTCTCGGGATCTTGGGCACGTACGTACACGCACCCGGCGTGAGTTTTAAGCCACCGGGTCCGGGACGCGAACCGCGGTCGACTACGTGGGAATCCAGCAACATAGCCATTACGCTAACTGCTGGTTCCCAAAGATAGGTGTTTTTGACAGAGTCTTACTGTTGGAATCCTCTGTCCTAGTCTCTCAGTTAAAATTAAGGTATGTGGGGCTGGCAGGTGGCATGGTGGTTAAGGATGCTGGACTTCCACATGGCTGACTATGGTTTGAGTCCTAGATTTGGTGGCTTGCTTTCTCATTTTCTCTCTTTCTCTTGCTCTGTTCCTCTCTGACAAAATTAAAAATAAATAAAGTTAAAATAATTCTTAAAAAAAAAAAAAAGATTAAGGTGTGTGCTATCATTCCTGGGCTGTTCAAGTTGGTTCAGGATACGAACCTGGGCTTCCCATGTGGCCCCAGCCTTGTGCAGTAGTGCTGCTGGACCAAGAAGTATATTCTTTTTTTTTTTTTTAAGAGGTTTTGCTATAGAGCACGTGCACTGGCAAGAGAGACAGAGAGACAGAAAGCAAGAAATCACCCCCCTGGGGTGGGGGGGTTGGCTGCACCCTTAAAACCTGGCATGAGTTTAAGCCACCAGATCTGGGACTTGAACCATGGTTGACTACATGGGAGTCCAGTGACATATACATCATGCCAACTGCTGGTCCCAAAAAGAAGTATATTCTTACTTTATCAACAGGTTTTTTTAAATAAAGAAAATACTTTTATCAGTTTACTTTTGTATGTTTTCATATGGTTATATGATTTTTCCCTTGGCCTTATCACTTTTTTTTTTTGAGAGGATTTTGCTACAGGGCGCATGTGCTCCCCAGACAGACAGAGACATAGAGATAGAAAGTGAGAAATCACCCCCCAGGGGGGATGGCCATGCTGCAATCCCTTCTCCTCCATTCTCCTCTCGGGATCTTGGGCACGCACTCACGCACCCTGCGTGAGTTTAAGCCACCGGGTCCAGGACTTGAACCGCGGTCGACTACGTGGGAATCCAGTTACATAGCCATTACGCTAACTGCTGGTCCCTTGGCCTTATCACTTTGATTACAGTAATAAATTTTCTAAAACCACCTGGGTATCCCTGAACATATACTACTTGAAAATAGTGTATTTTCCACTATACTTCTAAATTTAATATTTTCTTTAGAAGTTTGTCTCCAAGATCTTAGATAAGATTAGTCTGTGGTTTGATTTGTGGGAATATTTGCCTTTAATGTGACATATAAAGCCCTTTTATTTTCTTCACAGGTATAAGCTCTTGTTACAAAATTTGTTTGTTTCATATATTTTTTGTTGTTTGTCTGGAAATTAACAGAGTTTACATAATTAGAATACTATGTAGTATTTGATATAAATTACCATTACATTTTTTGGTTTAAAAACATAATGGTTTGGGACCATCAGTTAGCGTAATGGCTATGTCGCTGGACTTCCATATAGTCGACCATGGCTCAAGTCCCGGTGGCTTAAATTCATGCTGTGTGTGTGTGTGCGTGCCCAAGATTCGGAGAGGAGAAAGGAGAAGGGATTGTGGGGTGGCCATACACCCTGGGGCAGGTGATTTCTCGCTTTCTGTCTATCTCCGTCTTTCTGTCTCTCTCAGTCTCTCTTGTGAGCACACTGCACATACCCTATAGCAAAAGCCTCTCCAAAAAAACAAACAAACAAACAAAAAACAAAAAACCACATAATAGTTAGTGGGGCCAGCAGATGGCATGGTGGTTAAGGCACTAGATTCCCACATGGTTGATTATGGTTTAAGTCCCAGACCTGGTGGCTGGCTTTCTCACTTTCTCTCTCTCTCTCATCAAATTTAAATAAATAAATAAATAAAAATTAAAAAAACATAATGGTTTTTTAGTTTTGGTAAAGTAAGAGGAATTTTTAAAACCTTTGAATGCTTTGCCACGATTAAAAATAATCTTAATAAATTAAAAATAAATGATCTGATGCTATTATAGGAAAATCAGTTGAGTCAGTATAGTTACAATTTTTTTTATTGTAGTAGGAGTATTTAACAAGACTCAGCAAATTTTTAAGTATAGAGCATTATTGACAACAGTGTTGTACAGCAGATTTCCAGAATTTAATCATCTTGTATTACAGATGGTTTTTTTAGTTTTAAAAAGTGAGGCCTTGATTTTACCTGGTGTGTTCCTTAATGTTTTTATTTACATGAATTTCCATGTAAGTTTTATCATAGTGGAGCAAAATGTTACCAAGGGGACAACTGTAAATTTTCCCATGATGATTTGACTAAAGAAACAAAGAAACTTTTGGACAAAGTGAGTAATATTTTTCGTCTTGATTATTAGGTCTCTCATTTGACTTGAATAATTTTATATATCATATTTTATGAAATGCTGCTCAGAGGTTGAGGATTTGTCATTTTATGTTTTATTCTAGTAATAGCAGAAATATTAGTCTAGGAAGTTGGAATCCTTTGTTCTTTTCCTGGTCCTGCGATGAAAAAAACTAATGTACTTTGAGCAATATCTCTTACCTCTTTGTTTTTTAAAGTTTATATATTGATTTCTTCCGTGAGAGAGAGAGAGACAGAGACACACACAGACAGGCACCCCTAACTGGGGTGTTGTAAACCACTATCATAGGCATTTGTGCATGTACCCAGCATGTCTAGGGAGAACTCAAGATGTGAACCTGGGACTCTCTGATGTGGCTTCAGCATCGCAGAGCACTGCATTACTGCTGCTCCACCACAGCCACCTCCCTTACCTCTTTGAACCTCACTCTATTTATCAAAAGTAAGGAGTTAGCTCTCTCATCATTTCATTTCAACTTTAACAGTATATTTTTCTATTAACAAAACTAGTTTACAGAAGTCTTTAGTTTTGAATGTGAGGATGAGTGCTTGTTTTGAAAGAGTAATATTTATTTATTTATTTTATTTACATTTTTTAATATATTCAATCACATTATTTAGCTTACAAGGTGATCGTTTCAATATATGAACTTTTCTCCCTGGATGAGTTGATCAAAATATAACACTATCTCCCTGTCTCACCAATGCTGTCTTCGTATCCCTCCAAATGTTGTTCTTCCCCAGGCCCCACTCCTCCACACACACCACATCTGGCATTCACATCTACCTCTTGTGTTTGTACATCCTTTAGCCCGTCAGTTTCAGTTATAGAGTGTGGACATTTGGTATATATTAAGTGGGGACATACAGAGTCTCTCCTTCATAGCCTTGCTTGCCTCACTCAGCAGTAAATCTTCCATATTTTTCCACATTCTGTCAAAAGCCAGGGTTTTGTTGTTCTTAATGGCTGAATTGTATTCCATAGAGTATAACTGCCACAATTTTTCAATCCATTCATCCGTACGGGGGCGTTTGGGTTGGTTCCATGTCTTAACAATAGTGAAAAGTGTTGCAATAAACATTGATGTGCAAGCACTTTTCCAATGAGAAATTCTTCTGTCCTTTGGGTAGATGCCAAGAAATGGCATTGCTGGATCATATGGCAGTTCTATTTGTAGATTTTTGAGGAATCTACAAATTGTTCTCCACAGTGTTTGAGCTAATTTACATTCTCACCAGCAGTGTAAGAGGGTTCCCCTTTCACCACATACCCCCCAACACTTAACATTCTTTGTTTTTTTAATCTTAGCCATTCTGACTGGGGTTAGGTGGTATCTCATTGTTGTTTTGATCTGTATTTCCCTTAAGATGAGGGATGTTGAGCATTTTTTCATATGCCTTCTGGCTATTCGTATGTCATCTTTAGTGAGTGTTCTTTTCAACTCCTTCTCTGATCTTTTAATAGGGTTCATCATCTTTTTAACAAACAGCTTCTTTAGTTCCTTATGTATTCTGGTTATCAATCCCTTATCTGATGCATAGTTTACAAAAATATTTTCCCATTCTGAGGGCTGTCGATTCACACTAATTACTGTGTCTTTTGCCATGCAGAAATTTCTTAGTTTGATGTAATCTCACTTGTCTATTTTTGGGATTATTGACTGTGCTTTAGGGGTCTTATGTAAGAAGTCTTTC